TTTCCGCTCTTGGAGCAAGCCGTGCCCTGCCCCAGGGGCTCAGGGTGCTGGAGCTCCCACCTGGATAAAATCATGGAATAACTGGGGTTGGAACAGAGCTGAAAGCTCAGCCAGGCCTGGGTTTCCCTGAGAGTCCCCCTGAAACCAGGAGGATATTCCTGATTTTCCCTCTAAATATTCCTGATATTTTCCCTCTCAAACCAAGTTGATATTCCTGATTTTCCAGGGTGATATTCCTGATTTTCCCTCTGAATATTCCTGATATTTTCCCCATGGAACCAGGGTGATATTCCTGATTTTCCCCCTCAAACTAAGGTGATATTCCTGATTTTCCAGAGTGATATTCCTGATATTTTCCCCCATGAAACCAGGGTGATATTCCTGATTTTCCCTCTGAATATTTCTGATTTTCTGAAACCAGGGTGATATTCCTGATTTTCCAGGGTGATATTCCTGATATTTTCCCCATGAAACCAGGTTGATATTCCTGATATTTTCCCTCTCAAACCAGGTTGAAATTCCTGATTTTCCAGGGTGATATTCCTGATATTTTCCCTGTGACACCAGGGGGATATTCCTGATTTTCCCTCTAAATATTCCTGATTTTGCAGGGTGATATTCCTGATATTTTCCCTCTCAAACCAGGGTGATATTCCTGATTTTCCCTCTGAATATTCCTGATTTTCCCTCTCAAACCAGGTTGATATTCCTGATTTTCCAGGGTGATATTCCTCATATTTTCCCTGTGACACCAGGGTGATATTCCTGATTTTCCCTCTGATATTCCTGATTTTCCCTCTGAATATTCCTGATTTTCCCCCTGGAACCAGGTTGATATTCCTGATTTTCCAGGTTGATATTCCTGATTTTCCCTCTGAATATTCCTGATATTTTCCCCCTCAAACCAGGTTGATATTCCTGATTTTCTAGGGTGATATTCCTGATATTTTCCCCATGGAACCAGGGTGATATTCCTGATTTTCCAGGGTGATATTCCTGATTTTCTGAAACCAGGTTGATATTCCTGATTTTCCCCATGGAACCAGGGTGATATTCCTGATATTTTCCCTGTGACACCAGGGTGATATTCCTGATTTTCCAGGGTG